GGGGGGTGTTGTGGGGGGTGTTGTGAACAACCCCCCGTTCCTCTATTTTCCTACGAGTACGAGGGATAATCAAAAAGACTTGTTTTCCTTTTCCCTAGTTCGTGAAGGAATGAAAGCAGAGATTAATTTTCCATAGCAAATTTTTATTTGTTCCAGCACGATTTAGTTTCCAGCTACAAGATCATACTTTTCACACTTATGGATGATCTTGAAGTTGAAAAACCCTTAACGATAAAAGCCCTGTTTTTGCTGGAACCAGTGTGCATCGTCTCCAAGGTCTTCAGTTTCAAAAACAAAACATTTGTCTGAGGTTTTTCTCAAGATTTAGAAAAAAAATATAGAAATCAGAAGGGACCAAATCCGAGAAGTGTACTGGGTGAAGTAACATTTCATATCCGCCTTCCCTAGTTGTTGTGAACAAGCTGAAACGTGCATCTTTAATCAGTATAGATCTAAGTTTCAAATTGGTCGTATTGCCCTATCATAGTTAGGGGAAAACTGTCTTACCTGGTACTGTCTCTCCATCACGGACCCTTTCTGCGTTATACTTAAATGTTTCAAAACCTGTTTCCAACACCTGTAAATCTGGTGCTTTCTTGCACATTGTTGAAAAAATCACAGACTAATAATTGCAACCTTTCCATTTATAAATATCGATCAAAATACAATCGCGTGATCTGAGCAGAACTGAAAGATCAAGAGATCAGTCGCTTATGAGACCACCTTGTCAGGAAGAGCAAAAACTCGCTGGAGAGTCTTTTTCACATATAATTCCATCTATCTGGAGCTCTCTGATCTCTCCCATAAAATTTGGAAGATCAAAATTAGAGGTGAAATTTTAAGATCATTTTAAAAACATACCTTGTGAAATGCCCTTTTGATAGATTCTATATAGCTACCCCAGAATTACAAAGTTCTATTTGACATTTTCGGCCGTTTTGAGTTATTAAGACAATGAGGCTAGAAACCAAATCAAATGTTCTATCTGCTCTATCAAATCCGTAAGATTATTTTGAGTCGTTATCAAGATGTTTTAGAACTTGCATTCGAAAAGGTTTGACATTTTGTGATATTCAAAATTGTTACTGTCAAATTTCCCAAAACTAGGTAGGTACCGAGCAGATAGAACTTTGCAATTCTAGGGTTGCGATATGTAGCAGGTCTTTCTTATTCATAGTACTCCAATGTTCATAATGCGATCATTATTGATTGTGCTGTGAAGGTATGAATGTCTACTTCTGTGTGGTGTTAGCGTTAATCCATAGAGCGTATGTACAGTTATATGCACATGCATTCACATGTATTTTACGTTACGATAAAGATAAGATAAGATAGAATAATATACATCTTTATTGTCCAGATCCTGACACATTGGTTAGGCGTTTCACCACGAACAAACACACACACACACACACACACACACATACACACATACACACATACACACACATACACACATACGCACGCACACACGCGCGCACACATACACACACATACACACACAGACATACATACACACACACACACACACACACACACACACACACACACACACACATACACACACAAACATGCACACACGCATACGTACGCATATGTGCACACCCATACAAACACACTCTCTTCCCTCACACATCCTCTCTTCCACATACATCTGTGCACATAACCATAGTAATATGATAATATGCTTGCACTCACAAACAGTTGAAACAGGTTCACAGTCACATGCATAATATAAATGAACAGTTATATAAACAATAATAATTTTAATTAAGCCGGATACGTACTCTGTATTCTGATTGTAACTCAATTGTGGTGTCAAGCGTTTAGAGCTGCATTCTACGAGAGCGGGAGCATTAGAGATCATCGGCATGATTAATATAATTTTTTGTTTCTTAACATCGAGGATTCTTTGTTCGTTAATAAATTCTAGCTTTCCATTGCAGTCATCAGAACAAGGTTAAAAAGAGTTTTCGCTGCCCGCCCTCAACGACAAGAACAGACAACTGCTGGCACTTTATCTAAAAGCTTAGGATACGCCACAGCAGGAGCTCACACCCACAAAGAAAAAACAAACAAACACCAAACACTCATCAGTGGCAAAAATAATCTAAACACAATGTCAAGACTTAGTCTCAACAGTGGAAAATCAATAAAAGTAAATAAAAAATTGATGGATCAATGGTATCGAATTCCATTAGCATTCGACACACGAGTAGTCTGAAAATATTTATTTCATCAATAGCAGCCATGCATGCTATGTATTATCCTTTATTGATCACTTACACGCGCAGCTTGTTTGGGGTTGTTTTTTAGTTTAGTTTTATTCATTTTGGGTTTTTTTACTTGTTCACACTCTTCTTGCATCTAATTTGTTCACCTGTCATATAAAAATTGATTTTTGTTGCTGTGGCTTATGTGTTATCATGGATGTCAGTCACTATTTTCTGCTAACGTTAACTGGCGTCTGTGGTGCATTGGTAGGCTTTTCGACGCTGCATGTAGAAGATGCAAGTTCAGTTCCCGATCGGATGATTTTTTGTTTTGTTTGTTGTTGTTGCTGTTGTTTTTTAAACCGAGTATCTCTCTCTTGTCTGTTGGGATGCTGTTTCCAACTCAGCCAGAGCTTGCCTTGACAGGATGTAGGGTAGAAGCAGCCCGCTCCTAAAGTATCTAAATTTTGTCAATTTCTATTTAGTTAATGTTAAGATGGGATTGGGGGG